ATACACAGCTTCCGAAGTAATGCCACTGATTCAAGCTCATTATCTATAATTTACATCTTGTTAACAACTTAAAAGGCGGTGCCATTGTTTTGACGCTACAAATCTGGTCACTTTACACACATAATTTATTTACATGTTCAGAATAATTCTTGCAATAAAAACTGGTAATTTCCCGAAACAGAATTTTTCAATTGCTTTTTTTTTAATGAGGAAGCAATGTGTTTCCTGTAAGGTATGAAATTAATTACTATATTTTATTTAGGAGAAATTAATACTTCAAAGGCCTAAGCTACCATGTAAAGGAAACGTAAGAACTGACGTAGTGTTATGGCATATGTGATCTTGTTTGTTTGTAATTCAACAGGAAAATTTCCTGAACTGCAAAAGGAAGTAATTAACCTATAACGCGGTGGGGTCTATAAGAGACGAAATAAATCGCATGTTAGATACTTGAACGATCGCCTCTGTAGGTAGTGGTCATAATTTCTGGCTACAGACCCAGAAGTCCGTGTTCGATTTCCGGCGCTACAAGATTTTCTGAGAAGTAGTGGGTCTGGAACGGAGTCCACTTATCCTCATGAGGATAATTGAGGAGCTAATTCAAGGAAATAGCGGCTCCGGTCTAGAGAACCGAAATGAACGGCCGAGGGGATTCGTTGCTCTGACCACGCGACACCCTCTATCCGTTGAAATTGGCACTAACTTCGCCGACAAGCGGCGGTCGCTCGGTCAGTATAGTTCGCTTGCGGACTAAAGTCACGGATTTTGTTGCTGATACTAGAACAGCTTAGTGGATGGACGTTACGTTTGATTTTGAGCTTTACGAGACATGTTTCTTCTCTCTTTCCACAAATGGTTTAACATCCATCATTAACAGAATACGTTGCTCTCGCATTACGTAAGCATAACTGATCCGAAATTGATGTTAGCCTATCGATCTACTGCGATGACGAAAGAAAATTTGTATTCTGGAACTAAAATGTAAACCTGGTAACTTCAAAGTCATAGATTCGTTGCTACCTTACACCTAATGCCGCGCAATAGCTCAAGCGGTTAGTCGCTGGCTTCCCACCGCGGCGGCCCGGGTTCGATCCCAGGTCTGGTCAAGTGGGATTTGTGATGGACAAAGTGGCGCTGGGGCGGGTTTTCTCCGAGTACTTCGGTTTCCCCTGCAAATCTTCATTCCACCAAAGTCTCCATCACCACATTCACCCGGGGCAGACACAATAGGCCAATCAGTGGCCGCCGTGCCGAGTTGACCCAGCTGAACTCCACCCCCAACTAAGCGAATACCTTACACCTACAGAACCGGGACAGGTCAGACACCAAACATGGGTCAGCGGGGATAACACGCTTTCTTAGACGGGGAGCCTCGGGTTCGTGTGTTTGAATCTCTTCTATGATACAGGCTCTCCCGCGGTTGCGATAAGCCACAGGCACTCTAGGTAATTGGAGCAGTATCGTAAAACAAGACACGGCTATAGGTGACTCTCATTATACGTGGCTGTTGCGTTCCTGAAAATCGACGTCTATCTGGAAAACTTATAAAGCGGGAAATGCACCGAATTAAGACCGAGCAGGATGGAGTTGTGTGGAGGGGGGGGCCACATGACTGAGTCAAAATTGTAGGGAGAATGGGAGACTGTCCGCACTAGTTACTAGGCATGCGGGGCGGTTTCTGTTGTGGTCTTGGATGAGGAATTCGATAGGTAACAGTCACGAGACTGAAATAAAACCGCGGATAACAAAGATTTTTGTAACCAATAACCTTACTTTTTTATTCTTAGTGGGGTGAGACTGAGTCTGCTTGGTACTGCGACCAATACGCGCCTATTGTACCAGCTCCCGATGATAGGTGATGGTGATTGTGGAGCAATTGGTTGAATGAAGATTGGCAGGGTAAACCAAAGTACTCGGAGATAACCTGCCACAGTGTCATTTTGTCCACTATAAATCCCACATGACCTGACCCGGGCTCGAATCCGGGCCGCCGCGATGACATGAACTTACTTTATTGTATTTTCTGTATTATTATTCATGATTATACCGGCATGCGGCTCTGTATGGGTTATGCAAGTGATAAATCACCACTAAATAAATCAAGACTGCAATAAATAAATGCATAAGTAAATAGGTCTATCGTGACTAGCTAAAAGGCAGGACATCGGTGGGGAGTTCGATTCCAGGCAGGCGCACACACTTCCCTGCTTGCCACCATATCCATAACACATCTAGGACTAAATGATCCTCCTATTCTAATATACGAGGGTTCCTTCCACAGGGTTGAATTTGCTGCTTTGTTCTTTTCTTATGCTAGATATTCAAACACGCTTTCGGTACCGAGATTATATAGTGTTGAGGATATGATGACTAATGAATGTGGAGCAGATAGTAAAATAAGAATTGGCAGGGGAAACCGAAATACTCTTTTCTATCACAAATCACACATAATCTTACCTAGGATCGAACCAGGGCCGCCGCTTTGGGAAGCCGGCTACTAACCGTCTAAGTTAAGTCACGGACTACTTTGTACTGAAACATCCACAATCTATGTTCTTCCTTCAGCCTGCGATAAGTTTCACACTCACAAACCTCAGAACAGAATAAGAAATTTAACGGTGCGTTATCTTGTGCAAAAGTAACGTCTTCTTACTAATGCATGAATGTATAAGGGGTAGGCCTTCTCGGCCCTTGCACCGCGACCTACAGTGGTCTATTGCGCTTACGTCTTCTTACTAAGAGAGATATGTAGTTGAATTAAAGCCAGCATGTCACATGTGAGTTAGAAGCAAGATGGATTCCTCCTCGGGTTAGATGTCGGAGGCCAACGGAAAACAGGACGAACATACCAACATGGCGAGCCTCAGCGTCAATGTGGCGTATCAAGAGGATGCGCGCGCATGCGTGAAATTAAAAAGTTAGCATAGCGGGCCCCCAAATGACGGCGTCGAGCAGCGTTTCTCTCTTTCTCGCTTCTAATCGTCTGGGACGGACGCGGGACCATGAACTAATAGGCATCTGTGCTCTTCTGGCTACGCTCTGAAGCGGATACTCACCAAATCCTGCACATTCGAAGGACTGATCTATCACGAACGTTTGTTTCCTCACACTCTTTTTACTAATGTTGTAGAGACCAGCCTGACAAATTTATTATAGCAAGTGTCACGTAACTTCGAACAAGGCCAAGAGTAACCTTGAATGCGCAGAAGAAAAATTTCAGACAAGGGGGTGGGTTCGGGGGTGTGAGAAGTGACAGGCGGCCAGTTGTGCAAACAACTCTCACAACCTCGAACCCACCCCCTTGTCTGAAATTTTTCTTCTGCGCATTCAAGGTTACTCTTGGCCTTGTTCGAAGTTACGTGACACTTGCTATAGCACACTGTCTACCTCTTGGATCATCAATGTCCAACGATACTTTTCATGTAATGAACAATGAAATCGAAATTTCGAATTGCAGGCTACAATGACTGCAGCAAGTTTCTAGAAAAAATATCCTTTTTTATACTAGGCAACGAGTCTGTAAACACATTCCCTCACAGCCTACTCACACCAGTAAGACGTCCATTGCTAGTCAGCGGGTCAGTAAAGAAGCATTTTCAACAATAGAGAGTCTGTGTTTTCTGTGTGGTCCGTGCTAAGTGATTATAAAGAAGTGTTCCGCAGCGTAGAGTGAAATGAAGAATCCAGGTTTGGTACTCCAGCCTGCCCAAATATGAGCTTGGAAGAAGAGGAATTTTAAGTCGACTCTTCGGAATTGACAACCGCAGAATAATGGCAAGAAAGGAGTTAGGCTGTAAGAAGACTCCATGTGAGATTTGAAGTGACAGACTCTTATAAATCCGTTGCCAGGATACGACTACTGAAGACTGTGAGCCCTACTGCGTGTGTGACAGTGAACTATAAATTGTGTAGATTAGCGATAGCATCGTATTGCTTGTAGTCCCGAGTAGTGTCAATAAATCTAATCATCTAATCCAGAACCCGTCTTTTAAGTCACGCACACTACCCCTAAATCTTGACAATATATATTTAAAGCACGAAGTATTTTTTTGGGACCGCTTGTGACGTCAAATTTATTCAGACGTATTAATATACAGAGTGAGCCTAGGAGGCTCTATTGGTATTTGCAGTATAGCAGTACTTTTCGGCGTATAACTGCCAAAAATACAAATTCCTGTCGCGATAAAATTGTCATAACCTTAGCCATGTTTGAAATGCTATAAATGAATAGTACAGTGTGTAACGTGTTTCGCTTTATTTGGAATCCGTACGCGCGCTTAAAATATAAAAGCGACATATGTCACATTTATACTCGTAAGTTAAATTATTCTTTCTTTATTTCTATCAATCCGAAACCTAAATTTAAATTTTATGAGACTTCTTCTTGGCATAGAGAAATGTGATGGTAAACAAAATTACATTTTAAGAAAACCGGTATTACTACAACAAATTCCAGGATCATACTGATCTTGGAATATTTTACTTGCATTTAATTGTACCCCATTTAACGATGCTGTTTAATCAGTCGCAAATGGAAACGTATTCGTTTTCTTGCGACATAAAGGAGTAAATATACAGGACAAACTGGACGTACCTGTAAGGTCAGATTCAAAGAACACATACGAGACATAAAAAATAACGGACAAAGTTCCAAATTTGCTCAAAATGTATTGGACACCACACATGAATATTGTACGATAGACAAAACGTTAGAAGTTCTATGTATCGGCAAGAAACGCCGAACCTTGGATACATACGAAAGATTTCACATTTACGAAATCAGCAAACAAAACCTACAACTGAATGATAATTTTACTGAAATGTTTGACCCTATATATGATGTAATAATTGATACATACAAAATATAATATACAGTCATACCCTCTCCCCCCTACCTTCACTCCCGCATACACCTTATCTCTACCTCCCCTCTCCCCCCCTTACATTGACTTTAATCCTGCATCAGCGAATCAGTCGTTGTTGACTTTCCATACAGTACGGACAATTTTTCGTAAGATGAGGCACCGACTATACAGTAAGTAATAATATATACTGTATACTACATCTTCAATATCAAAATCAATTATTAATTATGATAAAATTTAATACTATTATTTTCATATCATTTTCAGATTAATTAATTTGCAACATCATGGGCGTCCTATACATTCTTATATAAAAGAAATATCCAACTTCCAATTGGTCCATGGAAAATTATGAAAAGTAACCGACTGATTCGATGTTATATAACATTAATTAACTTTTATCTTGTTTTATACAATAACTTTTAGTTTTTATATAATCTGACTTATTGTATTTTTACGCAAAGTATTTTGAATGATTGATGACATTGTGCCAATCTAATGTACAGCAGTTCAGTGGTATATGTTTGTTAATATGTGTTTGCCTGATGATGGCCGTTAGTGGCTGAAACATGTAGCGAAACCATAAAGGCGTGTAATTGCTGGAAGATGGAGATTATGACAAAGGGAAAGCTTCATAGATGTTATTCTTCCCAGTAATAGTATTACGGTTACTATACCAAGGAGGGCGAAATTGACAGGATAAGTAAAATTGAAGATGAGAAATGCATGCAAAATATTAGTCGGAAACCCAGAATTTGAGAGACCATACAGACCTAGGACAACATGGGAATATAATATTAAGATCTATCTTAAAAATATAATGTGCTTATGCAGAGTGAATGTATATGGACCAGGAAAGCGTGAAGGGAATAAGATTTTTTGAAAGCTGTAATGAACTTTCGGGTTCCATAAGCGGTGGAGAATTACTCGACCAGTCGAGTGACTATCAGATTCTCAAGAATACCTCTGCTCCATATATAACGTCACTGTTGTTACGAAATTAAATTGTGCATTTGTAATGTTTATTAGAGATTTATGGATTATTCCCATATTAATCAAGTACTTCGCCGGTCACGGTAGCCTAGCCGTCTAAGGCATGTAATATCTTCGCTCACTCGGAAGCCGGGATCGTGGGTTCGAATCCCACACAAGGCCTGGATATTTTGTGTGTGTCTGCGTTTATTCTGTTTTTGTGTTGTCCTGTGTTTAGGTAGATGCCTTTCGACGAGCTGATCATCCGTCCAAGGCGTCCTACGGTCTGCAAGAATGATCACGAAACCGAGAAATCAGACCTATGCTCCAAACTGTGAGCGGGACGAATCCTTCAGAGCTTTAACAGGTGGCTTCTCCTAATTATATTTTCTGTTCTATGTAAAGCAATACGAGAAATGTGAACCTTCGGACTACAAAAAGAAAAACTCTGCCTGTCTTATATATGATAGTCATTAAAGCCATGTGAAATGTTGACGTTATGCGTGTAACATAATTCGTAGTATGTCTGGCGCGGCACGAAAATGACACTTGGCTACTCGGCCAGAATGTTGGGAAGGATCAGTTTATTCTGCAGAGCCGGCAAGAGGACCAGAGACTTGAGCACTGGGATCCCTGCAGTTCAGCAATCCATGTGAAACCAGTTCCAACATCCTATCCCCCCCCCCCCTCCACTTCAACACTTCACCTTATAAGGAAACATTTAATCTCTGTACAAGACCACCGGGTGGAAACTAACAAAGTTCTCCATATCAAATTAATATAACTTTATTAGAGTATTTTCCTTATATAGAATTTCTGTTTTTGCAGTCTCTTACCCAGTGTTACGCCGCGCCATAGCTCAAGCGGTTAGTCGCTGGCTTCCCACCGCGGCGGCCCGGGTTCGATCCCGGGTCTGGTCAAGTGGGATTTGTGGTGGACAAAGTGGCGCTGGGGCAGGTTTTCTCCGAGTACTTCTGTTTCCCCTGCCAATCTTCATTCCACCAATTGCTCCACAATCACCCTCACCTATCATCTGGGGCTGGTACAGTAGGCCAGAAGTGGCCGCAGTACAAGGCACTTAGTTCCACCCCACTAACAATAAAATAATAAATACCTAATGTTAAATTAATTTGGGGAAATGAAGTAGCGATGTAAGATTTTAAAGTTAAAGTCAACAATTTTGCTAGATTATTAAGAATGTAGAAGCCAGTTAAGTTCTGTCCATGAAGGGCGTCGTGCTATCGATGCAAACGCGGATGCCTGACACCTAACTCGAGTTATCTTGGTCACAAAACGCGAACCTTCTAATCAAGGAGGTTCCACAGCAGCATTGGCACCTGAAGTCAATTTTTGTAGTTACTTGAGCTAGCTAATTAAGTAAATTCACTGCGAACAATCCTTCTTGAACAGTTTACAATTCCTCAGCTCATCAAGAACCTCCCTGCCTTTAAAGTTTATTACTAAATCAACCAAATCCGCCATTTGACCGTATCCTGAGCCAGTTAAATCCATTCTACATTTCTATACACTGTCTTACTAAAATTCATTTCATATTACCCGCTCATCTACGCCTAAATCTCAAGTCATTTCTTTCTTTCAAAATGTTCTATTAAAGTCCTGTATGCATTCTCATTTCTACCATGCTAACTGTTCTTTCTTACTCATGGAGCCGAGCCCTTCTTGAGGAGCCGCCAATTCTGCAGCTACACAAGAATTTCCCAGCATTTTATGGAAACCGAAGGTTCATTAACGTGTTCACAAGAGCCCTCCACTGGCCCCTATCCTGAGCCAAATCAATCCAATCCATCCCATCCCAACCTGTCTCTGTAAGATCCATTTTAGGACGAAATTTATACTGCAATAAATATTACCCCTGCCTCTTTAACAACTTTTGTATCTTTTCTTCTGGTCTTGCAACAAAACGCCACGCCCTCAGCCGCTACTCCCTAATCGGTAACGTTTCAGAACCCGTTGCTTCCTCATCAATGACACGGCCTGCACTTAGCAGGTAATAAAGATACATCAAGTGAAACCGTATTACACAAATACCATTTTTTCAGTAGAGGAACAAATTATTACAAAAATCTCACAATTTCTAAGTTCTACAAAAGTGGCAATTCCTTTACGATTTGTAGGTTCCTTTTTTTTAGAAACACATATGTATTAATGTTTACGAGAAGTACAGTTGTAAAAAAAACTCCATGGCCTGAAGTCCGCAAGCGAACTATACCGACCGTATGACCGCTGCTTGTCGGCGAAATTAGTATCAACTTTTGCGGATAGAGGGTGTCACGTGGTCAGCGCAATGGATCCCCACTGCCGTTAATCTCAGTTTTCTAGACCAGAGCCGCTATTTCCTTGAAATGTTTCCTCAGTTATCCTCACGAGGCTGAGTGGACCCCGTACCAGACCCACTGCTTGTCAGAAAATCTGGTAGCGCCCGGAATCGAACCCGGGACCTCTAGAGCTGTAGCCAGGAATTTTGACCACTAGTCAAATATTAATTTTGCCTAATTTTAAAGCAATTTACTGTAGATGCACTTAACGCTGTAATTTTATTTATCTGTTGGTTTGTTTTTGTTTATTACTAAAAAGAATAATGTGAGAAGGCCGGTAGCTGACCGCAGCTACATCTCTAGCGACATCGCGCAGACAAAACAGCGATGTCGTTTTGTTTTTGATTGATTATCCAAAAGAAAGAAGGAGAGTGAATAGGAGAAGAAAGAACCTTGACAGATGGAGAAGTAACTCAAGGTGGAAGAAGATGAACCACAGGCGCCATATAAATAAAACAGAGAGAGAGAGAGAAAAGAGAAAAATGAGCATAAGAAATCTTAACGAAACTTGCATTAGTGATGCGCGATTCGATTTAGAGATGAAGCCACAGTCTGTTTGGAAACTAAGTCAGCCAACGACTAAAGGAGTCATCATCGTGCAAGTTTGATGTGTCACAGGATTGGCGGGTTACATTTTCTGTGAGCATATATGCATAATCTCCAGTACCCAATTAGATGAGAAGAGTGTTGATGTATTCGTAGAAATATTTTGGTCATTGCACCTCTTCACATTAGTAAATTTACACTGAATAATCCACAGTACGATTTAAAACGCAGCGTTGATAAGGCCACTTCTTTGCTTTCAGGTAAGACAAAAATATTCCTTGATTTTAGTCTGCAAGTGAACAATACCGACCGAGCGACCGCCGCTTGTCGACGTAGTTAATGCCAACTTTTGCGGATAGAGTGTGTCGCGTGGTCAGCGCAACGGTTCCCCACGGCTGTTAATTTCGGTTTTCTAGACCAGAGCGGCTATTTCCTTGAAATAGCTCCTCAATTATCATCACGAGGCTGAGTGAAACCCCTTTCCACACACACACACTACTTCTCAGAAAAAAATCTGGTAGCGCAGGGAATCGAACTCGGACCTCACGATCTACAGCCAGGAACTGTGACCACTAGACCACAGAGGTGGTTTTTCAGGTAAGACAGGAAGCATAAAATACAACTTCGCTGACAGGTCGCCATGTTACTTCAAGTGCCATGTTGACAAGCGACTTTTGCTTCTAGGTGAGACAGGTACAGCTTTGAATATAATTTGTAGGCATATAAATAAGTGAGTTAAATCAGTATATTTCGTTTTCATGATCTCTGCGTTTATTAAGTGTCTTCACGAAGTTTATAAAACGGACACTTAAAGGAAGAGCGTGTCTGTCCACATGTTTCAGTGTTTCATATCTAAATATTGTCACGTGTATAATGTGACTATAGACGGGGGTTTGGATAGTATATATGATTTATCGAACACTTTAATACACAATTCTTAATTACATATAATTATAGCGCCATCGCTAATTTCCACTTTTTCAAATCACTAGAACACCGGGACTAGTGTTCTCAGTCTGATGCTAGTCGTCTCCTAGTAATTGTTCCAACAGCGGCTATTCCTCTGCTACCGTGCTCAAGTCGTTTCAGAATGGCGGCTCCATTCTAACTGCCCCTTCTTCAAGTCAAAGCCAAAGTTACTTTATGACAGGCGGCTTACCGCCAATCAGTTCATCTTTGCGTCAAGCCTTTTGAGGCCTACGACCAAAAATTTTTTTTTCAACTGAAATCTAGCGGTTACAGTCCTTATGTAACATCCTCTCTAACGAGAGGATGGGTTTGTCTCTTATGAACATGCTTGGCCTTTCGTCAAGCGTACGTATCGAACATATAGCATGTTATTGAAAATTCTTCCTTTTGTACTACACACAAGTCCTCTGTCAGTACAGGCTTTACAGAGCAGATCATGCCTATCTTACGTATCTTATGCTACAACGGCAGCTTAGTCACTTGAACGATCGTAAGATTGACCAACGCCAAGTTTAAGCCGCCTATATTTTGTACCTCTGCAGTGGAAAACACTGCTCCTAACAGTATCTCTACTGTCGCATGCGTTTAAGTTGCTGCAGGAACGTGTTTACCGAGCCGTTGCCTAGAAACGGCAATACACGTTACAATATATATAACAGGTTTCGATGAAAATTGCGTCCCACCTTGCATGACTTTCTGTTGCTTAAATATGTAATCATACAAAACGTTTGCACTTGTTAAAAACAGCTCTAACTGGGATACAAGTTGACATGAAATATTAATAAATGCATATGATATTTAATGAAATGTCGTTGAAATGAATAGGTATCTCTGCAAGAAATCACTATTTCTTCTACTCCCTTCGATATGCATAATCAAATAGCGGGAGAGTATATGAATAACGAACTGAAAGAGAAGTCGAAGGATAAGATCTTGAAATATTATTAATTTACAATAAAACTTGTCTTCTTCAATAAAAATTGCATCTCATTTCTTTCATCCTGTGCAAGCAATTTTGTGAAGTGCATAGCATACTGTTTTACTCTTAACTATTAAGGCACCTTATGTTCTCCCGAATTGTTCCAATTTTATATTGTTGCGTGATGGATGAGTTTGGATCGGTAATTACATTTACTGGACAATTTTTCAGCTCGCAAATATACTGTCACACACACAGACCACTGTTTTCAGTCACTTCGCTTGGTAACGCCATCCAACAGTGGACATCACTATGCTTCCGGGCTCACGTCCTAGCAGGCTGACGGCCATTTCACACTAACACCCTACTCTTCTAACTTCTTTCTTAGGACTGTCCCGTAATCAAAGTCAAAGTGAAAGTCACATTGCGACTGACGGTCAGTCAGTTAGTCAGTCAGTCAGTCAGTCAATCTTGGTGTCGAGCCCAATCTGGTGCTCATGACCAGATATTTATTACTGTTTGACAGTTTAGGTCTTGTTATTGTGGGGCGCCTTCTCTGACGAGAGGACGGGTCTGTCTTTTGTCAGAGTCATTGTCTGTAGTGTCTCGTAATCCAATTCCAAGTCATATTTCGACTGACGGTCAGTCAGTCAGCCAGTATGTCTTGGTGTCAAGCCCTATCTGGGGCTCATGACCAGATATTTATTACTCTTTGACAGTTTTTT